TGCATACATACATGCATACATACATACATACAGACAGACAGACAGACAGACAGACAGACAGACAGACAGACAGACAGACAGACAGACAGACAGACAGACAGACAGACAGACAGACAGAAAGAGAGGGAGAGAGAGAGAGAGAATCTCTCATACCTGGAAACTGCGACACATGAGGCAGAGCAAGACAACATGTTCGATGAGACGGCAGATGAGGACAGGGAGTCTGTAGGGAACGACCTTCCAAGGAACCTGTTTCTGATGATCTATAGTCGAAGAAGTCAACTTCAGGAGCAGTCTTTCCTCGAAGTAGTCCTGCAGGGCAGCTCATCGCCCTTGGCCTTGGGGTTTCTGGAGCTCAAGAAGAAGGGAAGGGACCAAGCCATCAGTTGGTCTAAGAGTGGAGTTGACGAAGGGGGTTGTGACATGGGTTTGTCGGTCGGTCCCTTGCAACCACAAAGGCGAACCACAAAGCCCTAAACACTCACCAAAGCAACAGAAAGTAACATGCGGCCTATCCAGAAACATGCTTTACACCGCCCAGCTCAGCCTTATGGCGAGACACGGAAACCTCGCTACACTAAATGTTGAAAGTCTGCTTGACATCCCGTCCAAGCTGGGGAAAATCATCCACCCTGACGAGGAAGTCCCCCAAGTTACACTGTATTTGCCACGTACCTGAACAGCTCTCATAACATCCGGCAAGCCTTCAACAGCATTTCTGAGCCTGCATCCTAAAGCCCCCGTTTGGGGTTTGGGGTAAACCTGAGCCTGAATCCCAAAGCTTATTGCGAGAGTTAGGGTTTCCAGCTTCGGGTTTGGGTAAACCTGTGCCTGAATCCTAAAGTTATTCGCAGGATGCCATCCGAAAGGCTGCGACGGGGCAAGCAAATGCGATCAGCCAGCCTCTTTCCTGATATGGAGCGTTTCAGAAAGAAAACAGGTGTCTTTCTAGGTTCGGTTGCTAGGATCCGACTGCTTATGGTCAGTTTTCGGACTTTGGACCCGTTGTGCTCTGAAACTCCTATTAGGGTCTGGGACTCTAGGCTTTGCTGGCTGAGGGATGTTGAGGTCGTAAAGGTTTGTCCACAAGCTTTTGGGTGTGAATGGCCTGCGACTCACAGGGATGTTTACAGTAGAAGGAGGATGCACAGAATGGTGTGACCCAACCGTACCGTCGTTGACAGTGGGAGAAGTACCCTGTCACCCTCCTTCAAGACACTAAACCCTGCCGAACCTGGCACCCAGCCCCATACTAGACTCACGAATAACAGAAAGTGACGAACGAGTAGGATCCCAGCCGCAAACCCCTACACCCTAAACTTTTTGGAGAATCCACCGAATGTTCTGGCCGCGACATTTTGGGTTTCGGGATCCCAGGACTGGTGCCTCAGCCGATGATTGGGACGATTCGGAGGGGTGCCCTCCTCTGAGGTCTAGGGTTTTAGTCTGGGTGTGCTGTTTAGGGGTTGCTGGGTTGAGGATTAGGTGTTTCGGGCTTTCATCCGCGAAGCACCAAACTTGAATCCACCAGATTAAGTTTCAAGGGCAGCAATCCGTTCAGGTTTCCTTGAGCTGATAGCACTTGCGGGTATGATTCCATTTGCATGCTTCTTCATTCATTACGGCGTCTACGCGCCGGGGATAAACGTAAAGCACTAAGAGATCCTGTCTCTTTGTTGAAGCTTCGAGCCTGCACCTCTAGTCTCCATTGTAGTCCGTGGTTTTGGTTTTTGATCGTGTATTTAGGATCCTATTGCCCCAACAAGGGAACTGCAATGGAGACTGCAGGTAGTTTTTTTTACATGGTGCCCACTATACCTCTTCATCAAGAGATGCCACTAAAACTATTCTCGGTTCGTAGCAGGGTCCATTGCCTTCAGATGTTGAGGGACGTTGGACTCTCCGGGCATCAGGTTGATCAGGGCAGTTTGAGCTTAGAGTCGACCTTAGAAAATCAAAGCCCCACGTATAAACCTGAGGCACTCGATCTTCAACCCCTTTACTCCTATCTCTTAAGCACTCGAAGGCACCAGATTCACGGAGGGGCTTACAACCTGAGTGGTTTAGGGTTTAGGGATTAGGGGTTTAGGGTTTAGGGAGTAGGGGTTTTGGGTTTAGTGTTAAGGGTTGAGGGATTAGGGGTTTAGGGTTTAGGGTTTAAAGATTAGGGGTTTAGGGTTTAGGGTTGTCCTTCTGCGGCGTTGCTGGTTTGGGCATCGCGACCTTGTAGCTCAGATTGTTGAAATCAGGGGCGGCTGATTTGTGAGGCTTCTCGTAAGGATCCTATAACAGAACATAGGGTTCATTTTACGGTTCCTTGTTCTGAAACTCATGTTAATTAAGTTAAGGGCTCCAGTCACTTTAAATAGTAGGCGGCTAGGCGTATTATGAACCTAAAGCCCTAAACCCAGTAACCCATTATTCAGGCAACTGGAGCCCTAGGTTGACCAGGGCCTCCTTATGGCTATCGCCTCAGGACCTGGACTGGGCCTCAAAGCATAGGCACGAAACCACACACCACGTACAGTAAGCCCTTATTGACACCCTGACCAAATCGTAAGAGATAGGAGACTTCTTAAAGTTCGAGCAACCCACGAGTCAGATTGCAACCTGGATCCGTGGTTAGCATGAGTGCCTCCTCTGTAGCTCAACTGATCGATTTCTGATGAGTCATCCAGGCCGATGTTCCTGCGCATATGTCTGTATGAGTGTATGTATGTATGTATGTATGTATGTATGTATGTATGTATGTATGCATACATGTATTTCTGTGATGTGTTATGTGTCTGCATTTGCATGTGTCTTGCCATGTACTGGTAGGCCTGTAGGTCTGTCTGTCTGTCTGTCTGTTTGTCTTTGAGTTTGTGTTGGGTGGCTGGCTGGCAGGCTGGCTCACTGGCTGGGTGGGTGGGCGGGCGTGTGGGTGGGTGGATGGGTGGATGGGTGGGTGGGTGGCCGGGCGTGTGGGTGGATTGGTGGGTTGGTGGGTGGGTGTCTACGTCTACGTGTGTACATGTGTATGCAATGTGCATGTATGTGTATGTGGGTCTGTGCATGCATACATGCATATGTATGCGCATGCATGAATCACTGTATGAATGAGAATATGTGTTCAGGCATGCATGTATGCAGTTGGGTACGTGTTATTTACACATGCAAATTCCGCAGCACAGGTACACATATTCATGCATACATGGGCAAATGTTGGTTTATGGCACGCTTGTCTGTCCGTGTCCAAAGCCACACACCTGCCAGGGGGACAATCGAATATCCCAAGTCGTGTTGTTGTTGGTAGGGTTTACTTCTGTTGGTTTCTTAGCCTACGCAAAAGCCAGCAAAACATCGCACAACCTACGCACATGAAGCCAAACCTTCAACTGCAAACTCAAGCACAATCCTGCACACCCTAAAAACCCAAAACCCAGCCTTCAACTGCAAGTTCTAAACCACAAACCTGAATCCTGAACCCTGAACCACGGGGCTAGGCTTTTCCACGGCTGCAGAAATATTCATGGCTTAGTGAGACGGAAAGGATCTCTGTTCTATTCAGCTAAACAATCTGTTCAAGAATCACAGGGGTCATTCCTGCTCCTTGACAAAGAACCAAGTGCAGAAGTTTCTGTTGCAGAGGTAACCCTGAAACACAACACAGGTACTACAAGGCAAAGATCGGAGAAGTCATGATGGAGCGGTATGAAGTCACTGAGGACTGCGAAGCTGCTAACCTTAGCTGTAAAGCAAGTAACTCTTGACCTTCTCGAGGGAGTATAAACTTTCATAAAGTCGTTAGTGTTTAGTTCATAGGGACCCTTAGAGGCCTATTCCCTATCCCCCTTGCGCCTCGATCCTCCAAAGAATCCCTGTGCTTAGTCCTCGTCAAAAAAGGGGAGAAGTAGCTCAGCCCTAGGGCTCCAGTTAACTAGTAATGGGATACTGGGCTACATGGGAGTTTCCGAAAATTGGGGGGTACCTTATTTTGGGGTCCTTATAATAAGGATCCTACTATTTAGGGTACTATATTAGGGTCCCCTATTTTCAGAATCTACCACATGTGCTATGGCTAGTACTCTACTATGCAGGTATGAGGAGCCCTAGCGAAAGCACGTTGGAGGTTGAGGATGAGCATTCCCGGGTTCGACACTTATGAGCCCTAAACCCTAAACTCCTATACCCCTAAATTCTGGAGCCCTAAACGCCTAAACGCTAAACCCCTAAAACTCTAAACCCCAAACCCTAAACCCCTAAACTCTACACCCCAAGCGTATTCAGTATGCCGGGCTGTCGGATCCAACTTGAGCAACTTTGGAGCTTGGGATGTCTTTCCCTATGGGATCTATAAGGGTTCCTGTAAGAGATCTTCAGGGGTTCCTTCACAGGTTCTATACATACGGGCTCCGTTAAAGGATTTATAAGGGTTCCTTTATAGGATCTATAAGGGCGTTTTTGGATCTATAAGGGCTCGCACAATGACAATGATAACGAGACGAACGAGACAGTTAGTTGTTTCGAAGTCCTAGTTGTTTCGGAGTCCGAGGTCACCCCCAAAACAGCGACACTAGTTAGAGTATACGGCACCGTGACAACGAGACGGTCAGCAATCGTTCGGTGCGAGACATCACTCGTTCAACACCATGTACGGTCGCCGATGCCGCCATGCCGCAAGCAGCCCGGTCAAGCAATCAGCTGGGCCAAGAGCAATCCCCAATGTACAAACTCTTTATGTATACTTCTTATTAAGTAACTACTGTTGTTACATCTACCATTCAAACTAATATTGCTAAATGCCGTCATCACCGTCGACATTAGCATATATTAGCTCTTAATCTTACCCTGATCATTATGGGTATCTTTACTACCCATTATTACTATGTTTATCACAGTCATTATTTTTATCAGGTTTATGATCATCAACAGTATACTTAAAGCTACAGTGCTTCAGGGGTTACGGGTGTTGTGCGCTTTTGTCTGTTCGTAGACTCGGGCATCCTACCCGTTGCCCCGTGCATTTCGGGACCCTCGGGCTTTGGTTTAGCAATCTTAAGTCTTGTAGGTCAGAGGGTTTGGGGATTAGGGTTTAGGGTTTAGGGAGAGGGTTTGAGGTTTAGGGTTTAGGGTTTAGGGTTTAGGGAGAGGGTTTGGGGGTTAAGTTTAGAATTGCGTGTCTTCGACGTTCAGGGTTTGGGTTCAGGGTTTTGAGGCTGCGTGCTGGAAAGGTCTGACGACTGTTCTCCACTTCAGAAAATCTGCTGCTCTTTTCTGGCTGGCATCACTTCTGTCCGGACTCTGGCATCCTGGCTATGGTAACACCACCTTCAGCACAAAGATCTCGAGAACAGAACTTCAAAAGAAGCGTGAAGAAGAAGGCCTGAATGTGCCTTTGACAATCGGCTTGGATGACTTCGTCGACGGGCTATCCACCGCAGACAAATTGACATGTGACAGAATTCGAGGTGCTCTTGATCGCAATGATTGGTATGCAGCCCAGCATGCCTTCGACACCTCTGAGAAGACCTCGGCCCCAGTCTTTAACATGCTCATGGTAGCTGCGTTAAAACTTGGCAACTTCGAAAAGGGTGTGAAGATCTATGAGGATCTTGGTCACCGAGGTGTAGAAAAGACACTGAAGAGCTACTGCTGTGCAATTCGGCTCTTTTCTCAACTTGAACGAAAGGACGAGACGATGAAGGTTTGGAATGAGGCACGTGCCGCGAACCTGTGGAACGATTCCGAGAGTGCGAACTCGCTCATGTGTGCAGCCCTGCATGCAGCGGCGCAGTTCGCCGATCACGGTTTTGCTACACAGCTGCTTGACATGATGCAGGATAGGGGAAAGATTCTCAATGTCCTTGACTACAACCAGGCCCTGGACGCGTGCAAAAACTCGCTCCAGCACGAAGCAGCAATGCACCTCTATTCAGAAATGGTCCGTGTAAATGTAACACCCAATGTCATCACATTCGCGTTGCTCGTGGGTGCTCACAGTGGGAAGCCTCTGAAAGATATTACGGATGTCGCCAGCCAGATGGCTCTTTATGATATTGAACCAAATGTGCCGTTCTTGGAAGAGCTTGTGTCAGCCATGATTGGTGCGCGGCGTCAGGGTCTCAAGATCACTGATCTGCAGCAGGCACGGATGGTGGCTTCACAGTCACCTGCCTCTCACCTGCGCGCGGCTCAGCGGGTTATCGAGCAAATCGAGAGTCAAGGCGTGGAACTGAGCCAGCTGCTCAGGCGCTTCAAAGCTGCGATGTCCTGGGCTCTTGAAAATTCTGGGGCTTCCGAGACTTAGGGATCGGATTTCTGGCAGACCGGAGGCCAGTTGATGTTTATAGGTTTGGCATTCTGGTGATTGTGAAGGGGATCGGTATCAAGATAGGGGTTCAGGCATATGAAGGTTAGATGCCCCTGAGTTTCTGAAGCTCCTAGTTGGAACAAAGCCGACTTTGCACATGGTCGGAGTGCATCGGAAAGCCGCGAAAGATCCTAGATCTTCCATGCCGCAAGCCCGGAAAAGGTGCTCTTCCTTTATCTGGGGTGAGATGAGGCCATCTTGAAGAGTTCAACATCTTGGCTACTTGCTGGGCGTTCTACATAAACACGTCTTGAGCTTTGTCACAATCCTTCGCATTCAGTCGACCAATGGGCTACATGAAGAGCATGTCACTGCCTAAAACTAAACACGATGTCAACCGTAAGCGCCATAGCACTTACATTTTGAAACCCTATATTCAAACTAAATCAACCTACCGCCTAAATTGTGCACAGCACCGAAGTGCCGACCATGGAGGAGGTTGTCATCCTGATGCCACTAGGACCTAGCGACGGAGGTTACGAATGCGTGAGGTTTAGAGGATCTAAAGGTTTTATAGGGATTTAAGGTTCAGAGCTTACGAGTTGTAGGCTTTGGGTTTAAGGCTCATGGGATTGAATATTCAGAGTCTATAGGGTTTAGGGAGTTGCGAAGAAGCAGCTGGCTGAGATGTCAGTGGGTCTCTTACCAGGAACTCCAACCATCACCGGGATCAGCTGACATTCCCAAAACTTCTGAAGGAGACGACGACGAAGGCAGCAATGACCATGTCGTAGGACAACTGCCACCACGACAATCAGGACGACAACAGCGACAATGACAACCACAGCGAAGACCATATCAGCAACAGCAACAAACACTTGCCCCACACAGCAGCACAAGTGCCGAAGCCAGTAGAAACACTAAATAGTTCAGAGCAACACAACCTTTTGAGCACTGCAGCACCAGCAACGGGACACTACACAAGCACTACAAGGACAGTCAGCAGCAACATCCGCAGCCGAGATTATCAAGGAAACTCCAGCGACGGTAAACCACACCACCTACCCCAGCAGCACACTCTCTACCACCACATTCAACAACAACCGCGGTGGGTGCAGTAGAGCAATCGAAATAGTTTCTGAGAAGAACAGCGCTGTCACCGCACAACTCTAAATGCCCATTCAGGCCAACTCCGAATTCCTTTTAAGCTCTGAACCCTGAATCTTAAATCCTCTCATCCCTACAACTACGCCCTAAAAACCTTCATGAGCCATCTAAAAAAAACCTTTCAGGCCCCAAGACCCTCGTAAAAGTCATACACGTCGTGCTTTTTCCTGCGTGCAGGACTTCGTGGGGAAGGGCGTCTTCTCGAATGTGTGCAAAGCTAAGGACAAGGTCGCTTTTGGAGAAGGGTCTTCGGGTCTGAGGACCTTTTGGCTTAGGGTTTTCAAGGGTCTGAGGGTTTAGGGTCTGGGGCTGGGGTCTGAGGAGTTCGGGCTTCAGGGCTGAGGGTTTAGGCCTTCAGGGTCTGAGGGTTTCGGGTTTCGGGCTTATTAGGGTCTGAGGGTTTACCGTGTTTTTTTGTCAGGGTTGCTTACGTTTGTATGGGGTCCACGCACCAAGATGGAAGAAGCCCAATCGGTGGAGTTATCGAGGCTGTGCGAGATGCGAGGCTGCTGATATGTTGTTTTTTTGCAGGGCTCCTATTTACTCTATAGGTACTTGAACCTCAAAGCCTATACCATCTAAGTACGTGGACGTATAGGGTTACTTACAACATCCGAACGGAGATTTTATCGAGCGTTATCAGGGAATGTTTTGTTGTTTGAGTATGTGGGTATATACGGTATGGTGTCTTCACGGTTAAGGACAGTTAAGGGTCCAGAGTTTGGACTTGGGTCTAGGAGAAAGGCTTCTGTCTGAGGTTGCATGGAAGTGATCTTGCACTTACCCTGGTGCCACTCTTAGATCGATTTGTAAGCGTACCTCACCTGCAACAACTGTACTACAATTTGCGCATACTTGTACCTTAGATTTAGATCGACCCTAGACCCTAAACCCCTAAACCCCTAAACCCCTAAACCCTAAACCTCTAAACCCTCAACCCCTAAACCCTAAACCCTAAACCCTAAACCCTAAAACCCTAAACCCGACTCGCTCCCAGCCGTGAATTCCATCCTGCTCCCACAGCCGTACCCACCCACAGACTCCAATATCCCTTACTTAAGGAATAGACCTTAAATTATAGTAGGATCCCTAATATGGTTTAAGGTGCAATCCTTAATTAAGGGATATTGGAGTCTCTGGGCCCACAGCCGTACTCGAGCTCCTGCATCCGTGAGCGCCTGAAGCTGGAAAACCCTCCCTGATGGGGTTGGAACTATATAGGGCTCAGGGGTATAGGAGTTCAGGGATTTAGGGGTTTAGGGTTGTAGGGGTTTAGGGTTCAGGGTTTTAGGGTTTTAGGGTTTAGGGTTTAGGGTCTAAGGGCTTAGGGTTTAGGGTTTGGGGTTTAGGATACCGAAATGGGTTCAGAGCCTGACGGGGTTGGAACTAAGGATACGGAACTGGGCTCAGAGATGAAATCCCCTTGCGAAATCTTCGGTTCTTGCTTTATAGCATTCCGCTTTCAGTGCTTCGCACAATTGCGATGTTCGGCATTTGCCCTAAACTAAACCCTAAAGCCCTAAACCGTAAACCTTCGGGTTGAGCCTTAATACCCCACCTAAATCCCTGAGCCAGTGTACCCGAGCTGCCTGAAGCCCTAAAGCCCAAGAGCCCCTTCAGAGTTGAGGGTTTAGGGCCAAGCGCCCCCAAGCCCTCAAGCCTAAACCCTAACCGAGCCCTTGTACAACCCTTCTGAAATTTCAGAAAACCCGCAAACACGTACACAATCCTTTTACAGACCCCTTATACATCCCAAAACATCCCTACACAACACCGTAAAGCCCTCATAACCCCTAGTAACACCCGAAACGACCCTAAAACACCTTGATAAAACCTTGTAGCTTTCCTTCAGCTCTTTCTGGTGACTGGTGACAGTTCGGAACACCTGAATGTTGAACGCTTTCCCCAACAAGAAACCTTGTAGCAGCCGGGACTCCCCGGTTCGCAGACCGATGGATCCATGGTGGCCATCAAAGTCATGCGCTGCAACGACATGATGAAGAAGGCCTGGATTTCCGAACCTTAGGGTTTGGGCCTTGTATAGGGGCCTTAATAATCAGAATAGGGTTTTGGGGCTATTGTGCTATAACCATAACAAGGAACCCCCCAGCATGGTATTGGTAGTTGTTCAGGCCCCGCAAAAAGGGGCTTGGGGTTAGGGGCCTAAGGTTTAAGGGCTTAGGGGCTTTGGATTTCGGGATGTTTCCGGGCTTGGGGTTCGGAAAGTTTGCGGGTTTAGGGTGTAGGGGGGCTTGAGGTTTAGGGACTTAAGGCCTTAGCGGGCTTACAGTAATTAGGGGCCCAGGTTTGGGGTTTAAGGCCTAGGGTAGGGGCTTAAGTTGGAGTCTGCGGTTCAGGGTTTAGGGTTTAGAGTTAGGGGTCTAGGAAAGCTTCCTTAAGATTCCGATGTGCCTATCTTGCACATGCTTGGGCCGAAATGGGGTGCCATATAAATACCTTTGTCGACCCTAAACCCTAAACCCTAAACCGTGGTGCCATATACATACCTTTGTCGAAGTGCCTGGTATAGAAGCACATGGATCCTCGTGGTTTAGTTTGGAGGTTTATGTATGATGTACTTGGAGGTTCATGGGTAGTTATAAGTGGAGTTAGAAGTCCCCTAATATAGGTTATAGCTAGAGTTACCCTACTTATAACCCTACTTACAACTACCCATGAACCTCCAAGTAGAGTGCACAGTTTCAGGGAGCAGGGGGGGTTCGGGTACCCTCAACCCTGAACCCTAAGCCCTGAACCCTAAACCCTGAACCCTACACCCTAAGATTAGAAAGGTTCTTGGAGCGGCCCCAGGGGTGGGGGGGGAAGTCAGGTGGATTTATGCAGAAAAGTCAGCAAAAAAGCGCCCAGGTGGGTTTGGACATTTAGACGTATCTATCACCACCACGATTACCTGACTAATCAATCCTGATCCTCCAAGTAAGGGTCTTTAGAGACATTCTCAGCACAATCCTTATCGCAGCCTTGCATCAGGAACCTTCGTAGTACCCCTCAGAATACCTCCAACCCTAAGCCCTCAACCTCTACCGAGCTGCTTTGACGCGCCCGTGTTGCCCGCAGGCTGCCGAGAAGGAGGTGGAGATCCTGGAGCGCATAAATAAGGCGGACAAGCAGAACAAAAGGCTCGACACCTTGCAGGATCTCTAAGCATTCCTTCAGGGGCTCCTTTAAGGGATCTAGGAGTAAGTAAGGCTTCGTTATTAAAGGGTTGCTTGAACAGTGGCTTGCTACATGATGAAGCTGTCAGAAGAGCGCTTTGAGGGTTCCCAAAAAGCTCCCAGAAGACATATGGATTTATCTGGCTCCTCCCCTGAGGTTCCTTAACCTAGTTCCCAAATACCCAACCTTTGAATTTTTTGGGTTCCTACTGTATAGTCTAGTAGTAATCTGAAAGTTTAACCTTTATTTCCTAGGCTTTTTGGGGAAGTAAGTTAAAGGGTTTCTTCAGTTTCTGGAAGGTTTTTTGAGGGCCTCTCGAAAGTTGTGAAGAAGCTCGGGCCCTTAGGGTTTAGGGTTCTAGAGGGTATAGGATTTGGGGTTCTGTAGGGTTCTAGGGTTTAGATTTGAAGATGTACGGATCAGGTTTCAGGATATAGGATGTATGTTGTACTGGCAAGTGTTGCGGCCAGCATTATTATGACAGTGGCGGTGCTGACCAAAACGAGGCATATGTGGTATTGCCTTCGCTGCCAGGGTAGCTACCAGGACCTTGATCACAGTTCTGTGGCGCTTAGGGATGTATACCGAAACGCGTCTAGATTTTCGGCCTCTTGCACAACTTTCCAGGCATGCTGTAGGTTTCCAGGAATCGG